TTATTATTTGTTCGTTGATCAAATATTCTTATCGATTGTCATCATTTCTTGAAATATATTTATGAATGATATCTGATTATTTATTTATTTATTTATTTTTTTTTAAATATACTTTTGTTATCCTATCAAACAAAAAAAATTGATATACCAATGGAGAGAGTTAAAAAAAAAAAAAAAATAAAATAAAATAAAAATAAAAAAAAAATAAAAAAAAAAGAATATGAAGATGAAAAGGGACTAATACTTCTTTTTTTTTTAGTAGACTAATCTTTAAATTGAATAAAAATGAATTATTATGAGAGTATATAGCAATAAATACTGGGTGACACAAAAGAGTCACAATTGATTCATTCACAAAGATGATTTTTTTGTTATTTATTATTCTCATATATGGGTTTGTAAGGACTCGTCGGCATATACGCGTTCGTGTACGAAATTAATAAAAACAAAAATAAACCAAAAGAATATTAACAACTATTTGATAATAATCCTTTGGTTGCGCTTAAATATTTTAACGTTTTTTTTTTTTTTTTTAAATTCCACGATTAAAATCACAAAAAACAAAAAAAAAACAATTACACGTTCAATGAAAATATATTTCATTTATAAAATATTTTTAAAAAATTCATTTCAACAATTGATAACCTCAAAGGAGGTAGAAAAGCATAAGAGGAAGAAGATGAAGAAGAAGAGAAAGAAGAAGAAGAAGAAGAAGAAAACATATTTAAAACAATAAAATAAAATGTCTGAAAAAGATGACATAACTTTGTGAGCGTAGATGCGAACGTTCCTTCGAAAAGCGTGGTAATATTTTGACGAGTAATCCTCCATCATTAATTAGATTTCTTTTTAAACTAGGCAAATGATCCTATCACAATCTTCATTGGCGTTGTTAGAACGCTAAAACAATTATAGTTGACGTTGCTGATCATGAATCTCCATTGGATGACGATGAGAACACAACGTCGTTATGAAAATCATGATGATATAACGATGGCAACGATGAGGACGACGACGATGACGACGACGATGACGACGACGACGACGACGACGATGATGATGCTGACGATGATGATGATGATGATTACGGAGATTAATAGATTAAACTATGCGCAAAATGACCGATTAAACGAAAATCACGATTTGCAACGTCAAAGTATTTTCCTTCCATTATTATTATTATTTTTTGTTTTCCACGTCTTCGAGCCACTAATCGATTATCACGTACTTCCGTTTATATTTCATTTACGGTAGACGCAAATCCGATTTATCCAGCTTCAACACGAGGCAACAACAAGCACACTGCACCACCTTCACCAATTACACCTGCACCACACTGTAGCACCTTTACACATTGCAATTGTCATGGCCTATGAAACCTGAAAAATCAAATTATCAAATGTTTACAAATATTGAATACTCGTATATCACAATTATTGGATTGTTCGGTAAATTCGTGCCGATTTTGATGGAAGATTGAAATGTAACGCATTTGGTATATATTTCTTCTTCTTCATCTTTTTGTTAGGACACTATGTCCTGTTATATTTTAGCCGTATAGACATCTTCAAGGCGTTTGTTGTTCCTGCGACACCGATGTCCAACTTTCATACCACCATTTTGGAGGTCTTCCCGGTGATCTTGTTGTTCCTATCTTTCCTATTTTTGCCACTTTCGGCAGCCTACTGTCGTCCATTCTGTCTACATGGTCTCACCACTCTCTTCTCCTCCTTCTTATCCACCTTACCACGTCTTGGGTCTCACATTCTTTTCTATATATATATGTATTAAATTATATATAAGTGCCATTTTGTTTCACAATCTTTCTCCATCTTTAAGGGTAACTTTCCAATTTTTTCTCCCTTCCAAAACTTCTCAGGTTTTTTGTTTTGTTAGTAAAACAACTTATTGGCCATTTACCGAAAATCGGCACGAATTTTTCCAAACAACCCCCCAATACTTTGTTTCAAATTGATTTTATTTACCTGGTAAGATGTCGACTGTCTTCGTGAACGGCCATTTCGGAACTCTTGAATTCGTTTAATTCTTTCCGAATGGCTGCTTTATCTTTAGGAGTCAATCGTGTCCATGGTTTATCGGCTCTTCTATCGTAGTCGTGAGCTTGTGTAACCTCGATGTAATCGTTGAATCTTATGATCTATAAAATCAGAGAAAATATATTATTTTTTTTAGGTTATACCAAATGAAAATCATACATCTCATCTCCTTTTCGTTTTAACAACTCATACTATTTATTGAATTGTTTGGAAAGTAATTTTGTTTTTTCCTAAGACAATAAAGTCATTAGTTGATGCAAATCAACAAATACCAAAACGTAAGATCGGTGAGAGGTTAAATTTATCAAATTTAACTATTTAAGTTAACTTGAAGGGCCTAGGTTTAACCTGGAAATGAAAATTGTCTTCATTTTCACAAAAGAAAAACGAAATCACTTTCCGTACAACCCAATATACTTTCATTTTTATATAATAACAGAGATTAGGTATTACCGTTTTGGAAAAACTGTTAAAAATATATACATATACATATACATATACATATATATATATATATATATATATATATATATATATAAAAAAAGATAATTAGATAAATTAATCTCTATAAACGTTACTCTTCTCATCATTTTTCCAGATGCTGCAAGATTTTCAAATAAATGAGACACGTAGACATCACCATCTACGATGTGATATAAATATATATATATATATATATATATGTTTATCATTTAAAATACCTTTTTTTCCTTAAGTTCTTCAACGGTTGGTCGAAAGCTTAATTTTCTTAAAAGATAACGTTTCTTCTCTTCTTTCTGCTTCTTCTCCTCGGCAGGACTTTGTTCTAAAAAAAAAAAAAAAAACAAATTTAAACTTGTAGTATATTGTTTATTGTATTCAATTTAATTTCTTCTTTTTATTGAAGTCAGTGTCATTTGATAATTGTAATGATAAATGAAGAAGAAATGAGCTTACTTTTCAAAATGTTTCGTTCTTCCAATTCCTCTTGAGTAGGACGCATACTTAGCCGCCTAAAATGATTTCAAATGATTTAATGTTGTACTCATTATTAGCCATACAATTAACATAAACAAGAAGAATTAACTAACCTGATAAGTCGAGCACCAATGGCTTCTTTCGTTTCCTGCCTTTCATTGTCCGTTTGCAATTGAAGAATATTTCTATTGATGAGTTCCTGTCTATCAGGCCTAAGGGCTAGCTTCAACGAAAGTGATTCTTTGCGTGCAATTTTAGCTGCCAATCGAGCTGCAAAAATACAACAACACAATTTTCATAGAATACTTTACATGAATTTTATTTCATACAAATCATATATGATTCTTCTTACTTTTCTCATCATCATAATCGTCCCTGTAAAGGACTTGGCCATCACTGCCATCACCATCAACGTCCTCTCGAATCACATAAGGCCTTGCATTTTCCTTATTTTCCAATGTGCATGGTAAAGCAAGTCCAAATCTGACTGGTCGACTGCTGGAAGAACGTAGGATTGACAACAAAAATTTGTCTCATTAATTCATTGTTTCTTATTTTTTTTAATTTTATAATCAAATTCTAAAGGTTATGATGAATAATTTCAATCAGAAACAAACTACGTTTGACTATATATATATGTTATTCAATTAATTTCAAATAAAACATAAATTAATGTGAAATAAGGAATAAAAGAGTGAGAAGTTTTGTAATCCCGTTTGTCTTTTTAGAAATAATTAGTAACAGGTAGAGGATTGAGTTTAACAAAAGGATGTTGCATGAAAGATAGTAAATGTGGATGATGATGGAAAACATCGGTCATTGTTCGATGCTCGTTTGGTTGTTTGTTTTCTTTTGTGATAAATATAAAGCATAGATATTATAAATATTGCATAGTGCTAGTGTATAGTTTGTAAAAGAAAAACCATACTCATAATTATTTGTTAAACTATTTCAAAATATAATAGGAAATTATTGTATTAAACACTAGATATATACCAGACCAGTCTTCATGTAACATTTGATTTTTGTAAATAATTAAGCCTTTTGTTTATTTAATAATGTCTATAAATTCATTTATCTATTAAAATAAAAACTGGAAGCTTTAAAAAGCATTTTTGTTTATACACCAGTCATTTTGACTAGTGTTGTATACTGAAAATGGTGCTAGTATATCTAGTGTTAAAATAAAATAAGATTACATGCATAAATCAGAACGTACCGTGTATATGTATTATTATATAATACATGTATATATGTACATAAATTTTGATATGAGAAGCATAATAGGTGAAAAAAGAGTATTTTTCATGGATTTCCCTAAGGTTTTCTCATGCTTAAGATCGAACGTCCCATGCTTATGGCGTTCGACACAGAGGCAGACAGACAGAGGTCAACGGAAAGACTAGAACATTTTGGTTCTTTACAATCAACCATTATATGGGATTCAAGATATATACAATATTTATACAATATTTATACATATATCATATATAATATATAATATTACATCGGTTCGCGCGCATGCTTAATTAGACCAATGTCCAATTACCATATTCTCATCCTTGGCCTCAACGGTGGCCTTCTGGTTAAGCATAAGAAAAATACGATTGTTTTACTAGCGATTGATATGTTAATGATATAGCAGCGTACAATGTAAAAATCATTTGAACATCATTTGATCTAACCTATTTCTTTAAAATGTAAACCCCCCTAAAAAAATCATTTGAACGATTCACGCTGGAACATCGTTTGATCTAACCTATATCTTGAAAATGTAAACCCCCTAATGTATAAAACGATATTCCAGTTTAATTCGAGACTTTCGTTTTGTTTTATTTTTTTTATTTTTTCTTGAATACAAATGAAATAAAAGAGAGCCACGTCCGAGTGGCTTTTAACGAAATGTTCAAGTCGCGAACGAACAGTTCTCTGAAAAAGTAGTGGTAGTAGGATTGCTCAAGAAATTACAATTTTTTTTGTTCTTTTTATGAAAGACTACTCTCTCGACGAGCTAGACTTTTGAAAATTTGAATGAAAAGAAATCGCGAAAATGTCGATCCCCCATTGTATTCATAAATTCCCCATCCCAATTCTCGTTCTCGTACATGCGCGAAAAATACGATGAATACGTTTTTCTAAGTGTTCGCTATTAGGGTTGTGTGTGTTTTCATATAAAGATGAACTAACTTGAACGAAGCATGAAGTTCTTGACGAAGAGTCAATGGCCTATTCTCCTGCGTCGGCGTATTTTGCGGTGTACCAGGACCACTACCAGATCCTTTTTTCTTCAATGCACTTTTCAATGGCATCGCATGAAATTTAGGCTCTTTCGCTGGTATTTCCTCGATCCTAGATGTATCGATAGCTGGATCTGGTTGAGACACCCTAAAGACGTAAAGATTATCGTCCTCCTCCTCCACGTCGATATCTTCGTCATCTACGAAGGACACGTACACTGTCATATCAGTTTTATATTAAAACGGGTACTTAAAATGATCCTTCCTTGTTCAAATATTAATTACACCCATTCGAACACAAACTATTGGGTTGGTAACTAAATCATTGCTGATTTGAAAAAGCCATCTATCGACAAAATCCGCAATCATTTATTTGCCAATCCAATACTTTTCATTAATTACATTTACAAATTTGATTTTCATTTATTTTGTTAATAAAAACAAATTGATATCTCAATCAAAAAGTAAAAAAGGATTGTTCGTAGGATGTATTTACATAAAGAGAAAAATATTAATTAGTTGATAGATAAAGAAAACAACAAATAAAACTTAATAAACCCTTACCTTCGTCTTCGCAATCCGATAATGGGATTTGTTGTTGTCGCTGCCTCGTCACCATCGTGGGACTTGGCGAGCTGAACATCGGCGGTGGTGGAATCGGTCCTATTTCGCTCAAAGGAATTGGTGGTTCCGGAAGCTCCGACAACATCAAAGTGTTTTGAGGTGGTAATGGATAGCACCTTTCTATTACCTGTTGTTGATTTTCGGCGCTTTGATCGAGAACACCCTTTTCCACTGTAATCAAAAATAATCAATCACACAACGATTAATTTACACATTTATCAATAATAACTTTTATATAGAACAGGGACAAGTAAAATAAGTGAGAATTTTTTTTATGTTTCTTTTTTTAAGGTTTACACACTCATTCGCGATTAAACACTCATCTCAAAGCCAAGAAAATCTTGGCAATGATGATCATTGC